CTGCGCCCCCGGGGGCGCGCTCGCTCTCCGGGGGCCGGGCCTCGCCACGGCCGGGCCCCCTCGGCCCTCGAGAGGCCCCCGACGGGGCCTCTCGAGGGAGCTCCACTGGGGACCTCGAGGAGCCCTCCTCGCCCTGCCCTCCGAGGAGGAGCCGAAGGCCGCACGGGCACGAGCTCTCGGACCCCCGCGCGGATATGCCTTGGGTCGGCGCTGGGCGCCCCTCCCTGGCGCCCAAAGAGGCGCCGCCACTGTGGCCCAGCTGAGATCCAAGAAATCTGCTTGGCATCGCTCGGACGTGTGCAGTGTTCCTTCGGCGAGGACCATCGAGGAGCCTCCTTGATCATTTGGCGAAAAAGCCACGCACGAAACCGACAAAAACCACAGGGAATGGACGTCCGAGCGATGGCGAGTCCGCGCGGAGCTCCGAAGGTTGACGTTCATGCAGCAATGTCGTCTTCGACGTTCGCCTCCCCCGCCGAGCTGCGCCGGAGGGCCTCCGAGTGCTGCCTCCGCCGCCCTCCTCGAAAGGCCCTCATCGAAAGACCTCCGACGGCTGCTTCCGCCGCCCTCCTCGACCACGGCTCGGAGGGGCTCTTGTGGGGCAGAGGGCCCCGGAGGGCGCCTCCGAGGTTGGCGGGGCCCTGGGGGTCCTCCGAAGCCAGGGGAGGTGGGCAGAGGCACGCGGGCACGGAGGGCGTTGCTGCTGCAGCGAGACACAGGGCGGCTTCACGAAGGAGTGGCCCTGGGCCCTGGGCAAGTGACCTCTGGTGCGCGGCGCTCGGGTTGGCGCGGGGTGAGGGGGGACCAGGCCCGAGCGTGCAAGCCGCTGCTATCGAATCGCGACCAGCCATCGGGGGACCCTGGTGAGCCCGCACCGAAAGTCACTCCGGCGAAAGGTCCCTCTTAAGCGTTGTCGAAGAAGGCTTGGACAACCAAATGACACGAAACGCCAAGAGGTGATGGGGAACCTGCGCACAGGCCCTGCCCTCGTCAGGATGCACCGCTGCAGTGCCTCCGCGTTTCGGCAAGTCTGTGGCCAGCTCGGACTCGGGGTGTGCCAGCGTGGTGTATGACATCTGCTTGGTCGCGACTGTACCAGGCCGAACGGCGGAAGGGGGGGAGGGACTGGGAGGCCAGCCCCTGGTAAGGTCTTCTTGGGCGGGGTCGGGCCAAATCCAGTCCCAGAATGAGCCGGACCGAGCTGGAACAAGCCGACAGGGTGGGTGCTGCTTCATGGGGGGGAGGCTCGGCCTGGAATCGGCGGCACGTCGCGGGCGAGCGACCCCAGACAACGAACCGCACGTCGCTGGGCGAGGATAAGCATGCAAGCCGCGATGAGCTGGCGATCGAACCAAGATGGCCACCTGTCACCCCCTGCTCCTTTGCCCCCCTTGGTGTTCACTGTGATGCCACCCCGCCCCCAGCTTCCAACTCCCACGGGTCGGTCCGCCGTCCTCCGCCCCCCTCCTGGCCCCCAGCGCCACGGGGGCGGCCCAGCTTCGAGTCTAAGCGACCAGGGCGCACTGCATCCAAGACCGTCGGACCCGGGCAGGCCATGCTGCCCCGAGAGGGAGAGGAAACGAGAGACGCGTACCACTGCGGAGGAGGCCCGTCGAGGCCCCGAGGCTCTAAATGCACCGCAGACTTACCGCACAAGCCGGGAGGTGTCGCCTGCGAGGCAGGGGCGGTGGCATCACCTCCCCCCTGCGCGGCGGCATTTGTAGGGGGGCCCTTCGCTGCAGAGCCCTGCGGGCATGCGGCGAGCAGGCCACCCCCAAGGGCCTGCACCCGTGGCAGTGGCGCGCATGCGGAGCACGGGGAGCATGAACAGCATGGCCCTGGGACATCCCCCGCAGCGGCCCAGGGAGAACAGGCGGCGGAACAAGCGCAAACTGCTCGCGAGGCCTTCTGATGATGAGGGGTGCTCGCGCTGGCGTGCCGCACACGTGCAGCGCCGATCAAAAGGCGGCTGGGAGGTTGCCACTGCTGGGCGCCCCCGGGGCCACCGCGGGCCGAAGGGCCTGCTGCAGGCCGCTCCGGGCCTCCTGCGCTCGTGGAAACCTGTCAAGCAGCGGGGCTGACTGCTCTTGACTCTGGTGGGGTGGAGACTCCAGCTGGTTGGCTCGCTGACCTCCTCCTCCTCCTCCTCCTCCTCCGCTTCCTCCCCCCACTCCTAGCCCTTTCGATCAGGGTCGGCGGCACCGGCCGTCAGGCCTCTCCAATCTGGTGAGGTGAAGACGCCAGCTGGTTGGCTCGCTGATGGAGCGCGTGATATGTCGGCGACGAGAGCGGTTTCGCGGTCCCCATGGTGCTGACTGTGCGCCGCAGTGCGATGATGCGTAAGGGCTTGCCTATGATCCACACGTTGGGTGGCACCGCTGGCGAGATGGCCGTCATCCCTAGCTTCGCGCCCACCTCCGTCGGAGCCCTGGTGGGCCGAATGTGGAGCCGGTATGAGGATGAGCTTCGGGGTGACATTCGGGCTCTGCCGCTCTTGGGCGGTCGTCGACGGTCCGAGAGAGAAGGTATGGCTGCGCGAGCCGAGGTGATCCTCGACTGCGTTGTCTTCGCCTAGAAAGTGACTCCGTGGAATGAAGTCGTTGGCTCCGTCGTCGTTCACCGAGGCCCCGAGCCCGAGAGGGTCGAGATCCCCCCCTCGTAGGCGCCCGGTGGTGGCGACCAAGGGTCGTCGAAGTGGCGCTGGCCCGGTGGACCGCCCGGCGGAGCACCTGTGTCATGCCCCCCTGGCCCGATGGTGAGCTGGCTCAGTGTCTGACACGCTCGTGCCTGGAGTGCCCGGCTCTCCTGCGAGGCAGCGGGGGCGTCCGACGTGGCTGGCCGTATATGGCGACGGCCGCGCTATGTGTGACAGCGCCAAGCTTGTGTCGTGTCGCCATTTGGCAGCGTCGGCCTGGCCTTGCTGTGCACTGTGGGGCCATACCCCGGCGGTGGCAAGTTCGCCAGCGCGACGGCCGAAGGCTTCAGCACTCGGAGCGATGCGCCCTTCGTTGGAGCCTTGCCCCTTCTGGGTTTTAAACAAGTCAGGTTTGGCCAGGAGCACCTGGTGGATCTCCTGCCAGAGGTCTGCGTGGGGCCCCTCGCGTTGCGGTGGTTTGCCCATCAGAAAGCCTTCCGTCCCATCAACGACCGCATGGTTGCCGACGAGCGGGCGCACCGGTCTTTCAGCCGTGGCGACAAGGTGGAGTATGGCAAGCCTTTCGGCCCGCTACGCAAACTGCGCCAGACCGCGGTCATGGGAAGACTGGTGAAGCTTGTGGTTTGTTCCGCAGTACACGCCGAAGCCCGCTCTGGCTAGGAGGGCGTCGGCTTAGTGAGAGCAGGCGCCGTCTGTTAAAGCAAAAACTCATTGGGCTCTCTGGTCGCCGCTGTAGTCCAGATGCCGGACCCCTGCTGAGTCCTCTGAGATGGGCTGCGGAAACTCGTCTTCGGCCATGGCAGACTGAAGGTCGGGGAGGCCAGGGCCTTCTGCCATTGTTGCCTGGTGATCATGATTTTGAAGGCGGTCCTCTCGGTCTCCCAACGCGGGCATCTCCATGCAATGTGCTCTTGGGTTTGCTCTTCATGATCGCGCCATGTACGCGAGGGAGATGGGTCGGCCGACGTTCTAGCCCTAACTTTCCACTGCTGGGTGTGGCCACTACCGCAGAGGTAGTTACAGAGGACGCCTAATTGCCAGGCAATGCATTTGGCTTCCTCTTTTGTGGTGTTGGAACATAGCCAAAGCCCTGCGCGACAACGGCGACGGAACCGAGGTCGCGCCGTGTACATGTGATGAGGCGGGGGAGTGCTCTCCGCTGTGCCACCCGAAACACGTGGGTGAAAAACCCAGCTGGCAATCGCGCTCGTCAAAGGCGGGTGCCCCAGTCGTCGAGGACGGTGGCGAACTCAGGCCAAGTCAGTTCGAGTTAGGCAATGGTTTGCCGCGCTCTGCCGACGGGCCCGACCCCGTGGAAATATTGTGCATGGTTATGTTAATCCTCGGCTTTGGCATTGAGACTGGTATCTCGCCACGCTTGCCTGCCGAGCTCTACTCGTGCTTGCGTGATGGCGCGGGCTCGATGGCGTGACCTGGTCCAGGATCGCCTTGTGGCTCGGATGGCGGCCAGCGCGATGTTGTTGCGCGTGTTTTGCACCCCGTCGCTGGGCGCTTAGATGTCCGCACCAGTGAAGCACATGCTGACCGCAAGCGGTCGGACCGCACGGGCTCTCGATCGTGCCCTCAAGGAGGCGCCCGATGCGTGGGAGTCTTAAGATTACCTTCTCCACCCTAGCATCGGCCGTGTCTTCGAGGTTCGAGCGAGGCAGGTGGCGCGTTGGTACAGCTACCCGCTAGCCTCACCTGGTGGTGAGTAGTAAGTAGGTGCTGCTTCAGCTGTAGAGCGGCCACCTGGCGGTCAAGCGCCTCGCCCAGGGCTCAGCGTGAATTTTCTGATCAGGGTTGAGTTTCCGATCAGGCATCCTGTCGCACCGAACTGTCTGGTCGATTGAATCCTTTAACTCTTCAGCCGCAGGGGCCGTGAAGTTGCTGTCGCTGACGAGCATGATGCTGAGCGACTGGGGGATGTGCTTGTGTTGCTGCCTAGTCCAACGATGGTGATCATACCGACGATGATGACGGCGTCCTCGCGCCGGTGACGAAAGTTTTGGAAGGATGTTGGCATGCGCGCGCTGCCGACGCGCGACAGTGGCCCACATGGTACCATTTGACACGGAGTGTGCCCCCCCAGCACGGGCGCAAGGGTGTTCGAGCGCTTTCGACAGTCGCGCGCAAGGGGAACGTCTGGTAGCTCTTGATGAACATGTTGATAAATTTGTGGTTTTCTTAAGATTCTGCGAGCGTCCGACTGCAGGCTCTTTTTGAACATTCCTATTGTGAAACCATGTGTCTTTAGATATTTATCGGGTTTTGAAACCCTCGCGCATCCCATTAAAAAAAAACAACTTTCTCATATATAATTCCGGCATGCGCGCGCGACGGC